TGATTTTAATAATTAGAAACTCTTGTATTGTATAATTTTTGTAATAATTACTCACAAAAACATATGTATTTGTCAATTTTAACCGAGTGTACTTAATAATTTTATTCGTTATTCATTATTACAACGAGAGAGAGAGAGAGAGAGAGAGAGAGAGAATTAAATAAAACAATCCGATAATAATTAGCATTAGCGCTTATTAACGTTTCGCTTATCGCAAAATATTATTAAAAAAAAGATTGAAAATAATCGATATTCAAAAATATAACAGCCTGAATGCAGCTGTTTGTTAAATATTTAAACATCCGACGTTCTCTTTCCAAGAGAGCAATCATTTCGAACAATTTGGCTTAACGATAATCTCATTTGTCGTCAATTAGCGCAACAAATAAAATCAATTCGAATAATCAGCATTAATAAAGTACATTAAAAACTCTCACTTCGCAAAACAGTAAGTGTAAGAACGCTCGAATGTTTCGTATACGATATCGACACGCGTTTCGGTTTAGTTTATCGGTTTAATTATCTGACGATGCATACGCAAGCGATGCAATTAGCGCCCCGTCGCCGACGATGCCTGCGCTACGCGGTGTGAGTAACGACGTCTATCGCGAAACGAACAGCTCCGAAGGTGGATTGTCACCCCGAGCTAGCTGTTCGTTGCGCAGCGGCGCGGCGGAACCGTTTGCTGAAACTTCGTCGAGGGCCATCGGCTTACCTCAAAGTGGCAGGTCCTGTTCCGAGGTCGAAGGTGAACTGCACGTGGCCCGAGGAGAGATAGAGAGCAATAAAGTCACCGGTGGCGTCGCTGTGATGGCCGTTGTAGAGTATCACGCCGTCCGGCGCGGTCGGTTTTAACGTGACGGACAATTCCAGCCACGACAGCGACGTGTCCGCCAATCCCGGATAACGTAGGTAAGAGGATCCGTTGAAGGATGGAACCTGCGGGAATAAAACACCGTTGCGGTCTGAGATTGCATGGAAATGTCGTTACCGGGCAAATGCATTCCCGGTTTTTGCCGCTCATCCTTAATCGCCTGCCATTGGGGAGACGACTGGCGAACGCGTCGTATTTGTTACGTTTCATGCCTTTTAAGCGGTAGTAGACTGCCATAAAAAAAATACAGGATGTCTGGCAAGCTATTTATTCTTTATCAATCTGTGCTTCATTTTTTTTGTCACTGATAAATCGAGAGAGATCATCAATTGTCGCAAGTTTTTCAGCATTTAACATGAAATATTTACGTTACTCTTATTACTAAAATTAATAAATTGTCAAACTAAAGTCCTCTAGAATTGTAATTAATTTGAAAAGCCTCTTGTTTTTATAATGATTTACAATTGAAAAACAATTGATTCATTCGATTAAAAAAATAAAATTGATTAAAAAATCAAAAATTAAGTTGATCAAAAATTCAAAAAAGTAATATATTAAATATATTTGAAATATCAACGCGGAATTATAAGAATGAAAAATTTCTCACATATGAGATGTGACCAATTATGTTTAGAAAATTAAATTAAATTTTTTTAATTTGCTTAATAATTTTTAAAAAGCACCAAAGGAAAGAAAACAATATAAAGTATATATTATAGATAAGAGAAAAAACGATATATGAAAGAATAAAAGATATTATAGATAGGTATAATCTTCCTATTTTCTTAATTAAATCTTGAGATGATGTTAATAGAGATTTCTTGTGATAATATTTCGGATACGAAACGTTAATATCATACCAACTCGCGTGTACCTACTGTAAACGATAATGTAAGTTTAAGGAGGAAATTGCCGTGATAATTCATAACTGCTTTCCCTGAGAACATGAGACTTTAACGTATTCCTAAGTATGATATTCCAAAAGGGACTATTATATTGTAGTAGCAAAACTATTCAGAAACTAAATATGCATTATAGAAAGCAAAGAGAAATACTTTAGAAATTAATTTAAAAAAAAACATCTTAGCAAATTAAAAAAAAATTCATTGTAAAATTATTTTATAAATAAATATCATATTTTAGTCTGAAGAAATATTTATTTAGATGAGTGAATTAATAAGCATTTCTGTTTGAACGTATGTCAATAATATGAATAAATATCATATTACAGGTATACAATAATTAATTATTAGTGCATCAATTAATTTTCTACTACATTGGTAGTAGAGTTGTTCAATTAATTTGATATACGTTTCCTTTCAAGAAATTAAATTATATTCTTCTTATTCAATATTTCTAATTATATTAATTAAAAATATATTTTCTAGGAAAAAAATAGTTGGTCCTTAAAGTGCTTCGTTTTTTTTTTTCCGAATATCTGAATATTCGAAATCTTATTTCTCTCGTTTATTGTTGATACTTGTTCTTTTATTCGTAACAATTTTAAAATCGTGATAGATTTAAGCAATATATTTCTTGTTATTAGTGTTATTATAGACACATGTGCTCTCTCTCTCTCTCTCTCTCTCTCTCTCTCTCTCGCACGCGCGCGCGCGCACACATACACATACGCGCGCACAGCACACACACGCATTTCTCTTGCGGCAACTGTAATAACTCTTCACGTCGTCAAGCATAAAGTAGAGAAACTCCCAGAACAGCTGTTGTTATTTAATTTACGACCAGCGCAGGATTTTGCGCTTTTCGTAAATCGGAATGCAAATACGCTGTATGTCACTGTCTCGGATAATCCTTAATATAGCTGCATTCACCAAGTGCCTTAAGAGGTCGAAGCGGGCTGCTTCTGTCTTAATGAGTCTAGCTGATAATTGTTTGTACGTCAGTTACCTTCCAAGATAAAATGCAAAACGTGAACGCTCGTGCAAAATTCTTCGACGAATTATATTATACCACTTTGACGTTTCGCGAAAATGGGAAACATCAATGAGTATGAATTTTATATACTATAATTTTATTTTATTTGATCTTGAAATCTTGAATATATATCATTAAACGTAACAACAAACGATATATTTTATGGATGTTTCATAAACTGTATCCTAGTTTATCTTCTACATATCTATTATTTGATCATTAAAAAAAATGAACGTATTCAAAATTTAAAAACTTTAAAAACGTATTAAAAATTATTTTTAAAGAAAGATGAGTTATATGAATTAAATATTCTTTTTTATAATCTCAGATGTTGAGCTGGAATGGCAAGTTTTCAATTAAACATTGAAATATGTAAATAGAAAAGTAAATATAGAAGAGTAAGTAAAAAAGCTAGACACTACTTCTTGACAGTTATTTAATTATAAGTACGTTCATAAGTATTCGTTTCGGAATGTAAGAGAGACTCCTATTTGAATATCTCAAAAATTATCTTTTAGAGATAAGAATTTATATTTTTTGCAACTAAAGAAATATATATGTTTATTGATTTTTAAAATGAAAATTTTATTTGATTTTTGAAAGAAAGGAATACAGCTTTTTTAAAAATATAGTTTACTCTAAATTATTTAAAAGATAAAGTTTTATTATTGGTTTGCTTTTAATAATTTGAAACCTTTCCCTATTTGATCACAAACTATTTACTTTTCTATATTTATCTCAAGAAAACAGTGTAAAACACTTCTGAGCTTCACGAACAAATCGTCTATTATAAGATATAAATCACATTACGAAAATCACATTGAGGATATCACATTTTCTGTGTGTCTACCTTTCCATTTTGCTTGACACTTATTCGATATTACTTCTTTGCTCGGACGCTCAAAGATCCTTTAGTATACTTTTCGTCGTCGAATCGTCGAGGGGGTAAGGCGAAAAATTCACAAAATCAAAGGGACGAAAGCGCGAACGACGGGATCCCTTCAAAGTTCCCGGCGCGAGAGCGGCGTAAATTAATTACGACAAAACGGAAGGAATCCTGACAGCGCCGTTAAGCCGGGCGGGATATGCTCCTTTAAGAAATTTCCAGCCCCGCGCACGGCGCCTATGCTTGGCCTCCTACTCCCTTTTCCCGCTATACGTAAAAGCTACGTCCCGGTGATAAGGAGCTCCCGCGGGAGAGCCAGGAGAGAAGTAACCTTGTATTATGCGAAAGACCAGCAACTCGTAAGATCCCTCGGGGAACACCCCTTCTCACCGCGCTTACGACATCGTCCTTCTGTTCGGCTTATGTCCTCCTGATGTTCACGGCAGTCTGCGCCGCGCAAAGACCGTTGATAGGTCCACGAATTTTTTACGAGGCAGTTTTGAACTTCGAAATGTCCTGCTGCATTATCGAGCACCCGCGACCGCACACACGTCGGCTGTTACAAACGCTATTGAAACTAAATATTGTTTTACCACCGAACGACTGTTTGTGCTTTGAGGGTAATGCTTCGCTGATTCTATTGATTTTGTTGCGTTGCAAAAAATGTCTTTGCTTTGCATTTATATCAAGCGTATTAAAATCTTAATTACGTATTTATATATTTTTTAAATATTTTAGATTTGTTTTATGACAAATAATGTACTTTAAGTAAATATAGATGATGCGATAACACTATTTTTTATATAATCAAAATTATTATTTGGTTATAAATAGTTGATAATATTTTTAATGTAGTTACAATTCAAAGGATTTTACGCTTTTAATAATGTGTTTAAAAATTAAGAGATTTCATTTAGTTGCATACACACTAGTAAAATTATATAAGTTGATATTATTTTTTATTTATCAGATATTATTATATTTATTCTGTAATAATAAAATTAAGGATTAAATTTATATCTCAATAATATGTATATCTATATATATTATTTTATTTTATCATTGAGGTATAAAAATATATATAGAAATATTGTAACAGGAAATAAAATAAATAAAAACGTAAAGAAAAATATAAATAAAAATTATAGCTACGAAGCTTCAAAAATTGACAGTGATAATATTTTATATCTTTATGGTACATTTTTTTTATAGAAAGAGTCATTCATACTTCTTTTACCAACCAACATAATTTTATGCTTACGAAACGCAATGTATCCTTCTCTTAGGCGTGTAATTTCCGGAAAAGCTTTTCGTGTTCCTTCGTTTTAACACAGAAACCACTTTGTTCAAATAGCATATATATAAATAGAAAGAGAGGATTATAATTTCTAAAAAAAAAAAACTATAAATGCACCTATAAATTCAAAATTGCACTTTTTAAATATTTTAAATGAAACTATATACATATTTTTTCACACATTAAATGTATAAAAATTCAAATAAAAGTCATAAAATTGCATAATGAAGCATTATATCATATTTTTGTTTATATTTCATGTTTAACATGCAATAGATACTTTGAAAAATTTTACATTTTTGCAAATACTTATTTATCTTATTTTATAAAATCTATTAATAGAACGTGTATTTAATTCTAGCTTTTATAACATTCTGAAAAGGAAATTTGTCAGCTATTTATTTACGCTTAACCGAAAGGAATATTATCTTCATCGTCTCACGTAAATGATCCAATAAAATGTGTGACGGGTGTTTCTTACAATAAAAGCACGCCATTCGAGCCGTTTAGCTTTACTTCGACATTAGCGTTTTATTTCGATATCCGGTAGCGTCTTTCTACGGATGTTACAAAAATGGTCGTCGCCGTAAATTACGACGATATTCCGGCGACATTTGGTTATTGCGGCTATATCTCTCCCGCTTGTACGTTAATGGAATTAAACTCGGGAACGGTCGGGCGAGACCAAAGTTCGAGAACGAGTTTCGAGTTTGAAGTGATACTCGTTAACTCGAGCCCTTTATGGTCGTTTCTCGAGCTAGTTTATGTTCTGATTTCGAGATCGGAAACGCGGTAATCCTGCGAAGGGATACATCCCTCTACCGTCCCTTGCAGTTCCCTACATGCAAAACGCAGTTTGCAATACAAAGGATAAAAGTGCATCAGCTTTTAATATGCGGCTTCTAATTTTGTGTCGTCATCATGAACAAAACATTAATCAATAATAATTATTTAATAAATCCGTGAATAGTTTCAATTTAAATTACTGCAAAAATAAGCTGCAATTGAATCATATTATATTATCCAGTACAAAACTAATTTATTTTTATTCGCATTATAGAGAAAGCAATATTCTTTGAATTGTAACTGTATTAAAAGTATTATCCACTAGGTATTACTATTTATAACCAAATAATAATTCAGATTAAGTATATCCAATTTTAAATTAAAATACCAAATAGCACACTTTAAACAAATGTTGAGGTAATTTTTAATCCGCAAAGCATTTGCCCCTTATATTTATCGAGGACGGTCCGATTCGCCCTCGGAAAATTTTCCCTAGCGCAACTATCGCTGATATTGAAGTACTGAGCCGTCACTGATGCATGTGAATGAATCTTTATACCTCGGCACTTCTTGGTGTCATTCCGTTTCGTGCCGGAAGTAATATCGGTCGCGAGCGCCGATACCAATTTCATCATATCGGGGAGCGAATATACCCCTCCGCTTTCCGCCATTGCCATAATCGATATCGTATATATAACCGCGCATAATCCGCGAGAAACCGTGCACACGCGCGGGCGAGCCGCATACGGTGACTTCCGGCGAATGCGACCGCGTTCGCTCCATTAAACCAACTGATATGAATCGCGAAGGGATTTCAAATGCACGTCATTCGGTCTGAAGTGTATTTTTAAATAATATCCATTGTAAATACGTGTACGTACATGCGTACGTATATCGGCGCGTGAATTATGTCTTTCTATTCGTTTAAGCCGCCTCGTTAGCGGCGCGGATGTTAATTACTCGTAGCCGCCCGCTTATTGCGCGGATAAACGCGTCATTTGCGAAGCGGGTGGACGCGCGATCGATTCTCGTATGTCGCGTTGCATTTTGCGACAATGCATTAACGCAGCGGAATAATGCATATCCAAGGGCCGCTTTTTAATACTAAACGGAATACAGTGGCGGGCGGTATTTTATGCAAAAATAATGAGACAACCTGAATAAATTGCAACAAAAACTATTCTAATATTATGAACTGTCGCATTGTTGTAAATTTTTTTTATAGGAATTTCCTGTAAACTCAAATCTCGTAAAGTCTTCCAGACAATTTAAAATTATGCATGCCTTTTCCATGAGTATAAAAAAGTAGGTGAGACTGACAATCAGCCAAAAATTTTGCTTATTGCGACAAAATTTTAGTACTTAACGGATAGCCGGATATCCAATTTTAACTGCAAATTTCTCAAAAATTGAAGTTTATTTATTTAAACCCTTTTATAATTTATTAAATCCCTCCTCCCACCTTCTCACCTTTCGAATTATGACTCAACTTATTTGGCAGTTCTCAAGTCAGAAATAACTGCCAAGAGATCGAAGGAATTAAATGCTTCTTTTTTATTTACAACAGCTACAAGTTCATTCTAGAAAGAGACAAGAGGCTGATGCTTAAGTCAAACTTATTTGATTCGTGCTGTCAATGCAATCGAGTCTTAGATTAAAGTAAGCCGCGTATAATCCATCAAATCTTGCAACGTGACGGCATAACAACGTCATGTCTGATATGATGTAAACACGTTTGTTGCCTGTGCATCCGCATGTAGAGATGCAATACCATTCCCGTATGTACACGTACACGGAAGTGATCTATATAAGTGGCATGTAGCAACTCATGCGTACAAACAAATATTTCGAGAGAAATATCTGTTTTCGAAAGATAGATATTTTTAAAGTCAAAATTGCATTAAAATGCTCTTAATTAATCGCCGTAGGTATTAAGAATTTAGAAAAAGATATTAATTTTTAGATTCAAAAGTTTGGCATCTAGAAAAATAAATTTCCGCGAATTTAATTATTGTACGTACGATTGATGAACTTTTAAGAATTTTAAGTTCTAAATTCGTGTATCTGCTAGTGAAGCTTTTATGAACATGTTAGACCGCGCTGTGTACCTATACTGCATAGGTATGTGAACGGGAATATCATGATGTGATAATGTTTAATTAAATAAAGCGAGTATGCCAAAATAGACGATGTTACCGTAACATTTCTATTTCCTATGTTCCAAGCTATGTTTGGATTCATGGAGTGACGCAATTCATACCGTCTATTCTAGTGGCTTCAATATATTTCTGGAGAAGAATAGCTAACAAATGTTGTTTATCTCGTCCTTTAAAATATTATTTTTCAATCTTATTTTCAATTTTCTTCTAGATCAATTTTTGCAGCATTTTATTATGTTGTTAAAGTTACTTTAAGAAGAAGTGGTGTTACCGCGAAAGAAATATGCGCGTTAAGTGAATCCGAAAGCATGAAACGTGTCACACAGATGAAAACGACTCTAGCCACTCGCCGACTGAAAATACGTTGCAGTGAACGTTGTTAGCATGCGCACGGTGTCTTGCAATATTCGTTCGAGGTATCGGAAAGTTGCTAAAATTAGACTTAAGATCACAAACGTCTACATTTACGCCAATAATCAGTTAGCAGGTTAATCATAGCAATTTATTATGCAATTGCTTTCCGTTTGGAACGTAATGAGAAGGAATCCATTTTGTAACTGTCTCATCTGTTTCCTTATCTGTCTCTAATCAGTCTTATAACTGTCACATCCTTAAATTAAGATTTTTATCTGTTCTTGGTAATACGTTTAACAGTAACGTTTAATAATAATGTTTAATAAATATGCGCTATGCTAGAATATAATTACTTTGCAAAAAAATTGTTATATAAATAAAATTCATGCAATTTAAATTTTGTAATGTGTTAAGAAACGAAAAAAAAAAAATAAGTGCAATATAATGTGTTGGTGTGCATTTGTCTACAGAAATGTAAAAATAAATTAAATATTTGGTGTAACTTAAATACCGACTATACTAATGCATAGTGTTATTCCTTGTAAAAAATTGAGTCGAAAATTCCTGAACCATTTCTTTTTTACAATGCGATATTATAAATAAAGCGATCACTACTGCAGTAATTACTGTTTCGTTAAATATTATAGAGAGAAAAATGATTTAGAATTTTTCGACTCAGCTTTTTACAAGGATAAATAACGCTATGTAATTAATGGTCGGTATTTAAGTTACCTGTATAAAGCATAATGAATTAATTGTGATGAAATAAAACTAAACTGTTTTGGATGCTCTTGGCAAGTGATTTTTGAATAATTTCATTGACTATATATGCTGTATTGCGGAAGAAATACTTTGGACTTTGTAATATCAGCAGATTTCGTGACGCCACTCTCATTTATAAACTTGATGATTGCCCATGCTTATAATTCCGTCGAAATTGATTCGGTTTACCTGCAGGTCCACTCGGGTTTCGCAGAGATCGCCCGTGTAGCCGAGCGGGCAGAGACAGACAGCCGTGTCGCCTCCGGTTGTCAGGCATTTTCCACCGTGGGAACACGGCACCTTACTGCACCTGTCGGCCGTGCACTCCTCTGGAACGACAATAAATCAGGCGATTTAATAAAAGTTCCGGCAGAGTGCGAAATCAAGAGTTACACGAGTGAAAATCGGATCGAGGCCGACTCGATTCGAGTCGACTCGACTCGACTCGACTCGCTTCGACATGGGAGATTCGACTGCGCGCGAGATAAAACCAATAAAATCACTCGCGCCTCGACAGGCCGTCGCGTCCGATTTATCGGAGTGGAGAAGTATCAATCTCTTCCGCCTCATCGTATTTTCGACGATATCATTTAGCGTGCGCGAGCATTGACGGGAAATTTTTTTGCTCGCGTCCGCGACGTCGACGATCGCGATATATAACACTCGATGTTGAGCTTTACGACGTGACGGGACAACCGGCCGGAAATACGCGTATTCTGCGTTCCCATTGTGAGATATATTTAGCGCTATCTGTTTTTTATGTCAATAGTTTCGGCTGATATTTCCGTAAAGCTGCTAATCACAATACAAAAATAGATTATTGCTTCTAATCGGATTTCTTTAAGTATTATACACACTACATAACGAATAGCTTACAAAATTAAGTATAAAAAATTTGTTAATTAGCCAATTATAGTCTTCCAAATAGTAAATTTAATAAATAATAATTCGAAATTTATTGAGTTTACCATATATAACTTGAATAATGGCAAAAATACAATAAGTATCTAAGTTTTAATGCAGATGCGTTTTCTGTTTTTTGTTCAAGTTATTTACTTTACTTAGACTTTATATATAGACAAAATATATATCTTTTCATTTGTATGAAATATTTTCAATTTGTGTAAAATAAATCAATTCAATTTTTTCCCTTTTAACCACGTTTTTCTATTTTAATTTATAGTTATTTATATCATAAATAATTCTTTTTATATTTATTCGTTATTGGTTATGTAGAAAAAGAAGCTTTTGATAAATTGGAAGAATGAATAACAACGGACTAAAATCATTCTTTTAAAGATAAAGATCCGAATCTCTTGAGAAAAGATCGAATCGGTGTCGATCTCGCGATAATGAATGATCCGAACGATTTTTACTTTTTGCCGAAGTTATTCGTTTCCGCGAGTGCCAAAGTGTTGCAACTCTGCAGGAAGTTTTCCAATCTAAATGGCGTTATCTTTTCATGGGTCTCCCCATACGGCAAACGTAAACCCAATTGGAAAGTAACGCAGAACTTTCGATTTAACTCTTTCATCTATCGCACGTGCGAGGATACCATTGTAACAAATCGATAGTTGCAAATCGAAAATAATGAAGCAAATTAATATTGAAATAATACTTGTTTCATTAATTGATATTATTACAAATATTGCACGTCTTTTTACATGATATATTAAATATGGCGTTAATATTTTTTACGTTTTCCAATTCATGTAGAAAAATGAACTCATTTTTCGCGAATAATTTTTCAATTTTTGTACAATTTTGTGCAATTATACAGTTTCCGATATCGTTTTGTGTGGTATCTTCTTTTTATTATTATGTTTTAAGATGTGTAATAACTGTCATAAAAGTAATAATAAATTATGGGTATATATATCTTATAATAAATGCATGTAAAAGAACACGCTTGAATTAAATGTGTATCTCAATTAATTATATACGATGTTTACATGCATTAACATATGAATTGTAAATAAAAACGGGGTTCCAATTCGGCAATTGGTACTTCGCAAATTTGCATAACGATGCCCCGATTGATATCGATTAATCTTTGATAATTAATGTTACACGCTGATAAAGACCGTACTCCATGCGTGCGATATATTTGATTAACCGTACATAACCGATTATGCTCGCGGATGCGTTTCATCCGATTTTAATGTACTGCATCCGCATAGTATTGTGTATATTATGTATGAACGGAAACACTAAATTCTGCTTCAAGGAAGGAAACCTATAACGTTTGTATCAATATATAGCTTTTACAGGCAAAGCATGAAATACAAATGCTTCGTATAAACATTGTATTACAAGATTAAATGCGATTATTCATGCGAAATGTAAAATGCGCTTTTACTTGACTCCTTTACTTTGAAACAAATGAAAATTTACAAATGTTTTCGCTCGTACGTACCTTTCCTGCTAAGAGCATTTGCGTTGCTTTACTGTTATTTATATTCCGTTATCGTTTGCCGACATTAATATCGTATCTGTCGCACGATTGGGTTAGTCCGGATATGTCCGACTACCACTGTATCAAAATTATGTTCTACACACATGCGACACAATGGCACGCTCGATATTACAAAATAGAGATAACATTTGGTTGGCTGCGTCGTGATATAAATACGAGGCAGATGTCCATTACTCAGAGGTAATTAATGCGACATACAAAGCAGCTGTTGCATAGTCGGACCTAGTCTTCTTCCCCAAATGTTGACAATTAATTACCGACACTCACTCCGGTAATGATAACGACAATTACTCGCGATAATCATAGTCTCGGCTGACGCAGCGATTTCTCCTTGGCTCTTCGCCGACGAAAGACACCGGAGTCTCACGATCATTTCCAATTAATTAAACGAGACACGCCTAGCTATTGCTCATACATCGCAGTTTCGGATTTTTTTTTTTTTTTGACAGAAATCCGATAATCTATAAATCTATACAAAAAATGGAAACTTCGTGAATGTAGAGGTAGTTCAGTCTCTCCGAGAATTATTTTTCGTCGCGGATAAAAAACGATATAACGACCATTCAAATATAGAACAAATTGTTTGAATCGGTTCTACTCTTCGAGTTGTTAAAGATATTGAAAAGAATTATATAAATAATATTACTATTTCTGATAACTTGTAAAACAATATGTAACATTCTGAAATAGTTAATTTTAACTCTTCATAAAATAATAACAATAATATAATTTTTATTTTACTTTTTTTATATTATTGTATTTGGGCGGTAGATATATTTTCAAAATATTAAAGGAACACAATAATTTCATTTTGCTCCTTTTTGAAACTGTCAGCTATAAAGAATATGTTAAAATTGAACGATCTTATATTTGCGAAAGTATATGAAATTTTATATTTCAATTTATGGTTTTAACGAATTATGTTTCGCTACCTCTTTTCTTCGGCTCTTCATCTTTACTACATCTTTTTTAGTTAACTTGTTACTATCGTCTTTGACCTATTTTATATTTTTTTTTATTGTTGTATAAGAAATTCGAGTGTTTGAATTATATAGATCTGAGTAGATATTTATACGATGTTTGACGTTTTGGGGACTTGATAAAAAAAACATAGTCTACCGATGTGACATTTTAACACTGATACGACGGAAACGCTATTCAACCTGCGTCATGTATTGTGAATCCATTTTAATTGAATATATAATCACCTTTGCCGAGTGGAAAAGCTTGTTCATGCATTTCTCATAAATAGTTGACATAAGCAAACGCATACCGTACATAACAATGCCATCGTGAATGTCCTCCTAATAAATCACCAGTTGTAAAAAGGAGAAAGCGACATTTAATACGAGACTGGTACATCATTTATTATCGTGCAAACAACGAAATAATAAAGGTGGCTCGTGCGCGCGCCCGTGTGTAGAGATTTATTATTATTATTTATTCTCCGTCGCGCGACAGCTGTAAAGTTGACGTAGGACCAGAGCTAAAATATTTGAAACAATTAATAACTATGAATTCTAATTAGCTGTCTTGCAGCTACGGCATGATCGGTTAGAATGCGACGGTGCGCTACCGGGTGACCGAATTAACAGCTATATCGGCAAACGGACAACAGGTGTCACATGAATTTAGTTGGCAAATCCTCCGACGCCCGCTCGATTTAACTCCGAATATATTCTTCGTTTCCTTTTTTTCGTCGCTGGAAACGAATTTCCCAAGTAGCTCAAATCCCCCGTAAGCGTGTATCGGCACTTTAGTACTGCGGTTGAGAAGTATAATTGTAACTATCACGTTTTTTTGGAGAGTTTTTAGTTGTAATAAATATTAAACTTAAAAAAAAAAATTATAACAATACTGATCTGTTGCATACGTTTTACTGTGCTGTTGTGTGTTTCCGTGTTTTAAACTTCAAATGCTCCGTGAAAATTATAATATTACGACTACGTTAGATATAATCGGCGTTAGAACGATTAAAGATATTGTATCACGAGTATAAAAATGAATACAATACTGAGATATAGAGCCGCCGCCGAAATTACTTCCTGCTCGAAACCAATCATGAGAGAGAGTTCGACGATTAGGAAACTTCGGCTCGGCGAAATGCCGAAACCGGATGCTACGCCACGATGCTGTACTCACCGATGTCGAATCCATTCGCGGCGTCGCCCTGCGGGGCCAATGGGAAGCGATAATGGTGCTCGTTCGCCTCCAAATGCCGGATGCAGCCCTTAAATCCGGTCCTTACCGGAAGTCGCTCCAAACCGGTCGTGTTTCCGGGTCCGCCGACGAAGAGCGGCTCGCGGAACGTAATTCTCGAGAACAAGCCCTGCAATTGAAGTCGAAATTCTCTAGTTATACATATGTAGTTGCAGTGTAACGCACGAGTCGGCGCAATTGCACGGCTGCTTGATTAATGCATGAAATTTTCCATTCGCCGTACAAGCCCAATGCTATTTCCTATGTAGTCATTGTATATATCTACGATAATAATAACAGTACGAAAATTGTGTCTACGAAATATTTTTATAATAAAATAAAACGATTTTATAGATAAAAAAAATAATTCAACTATAAATAAATTTCATTTCATAGACATTTTTTGTTAAAAAAATTTAATTAATGCTTTGTTGCATTAATTGATAACGGAAAATTAAAATGTCAAGATCGTGACAAGTTTGTTGCAGAAAAGTTTTTAATCACATAATTATACCGTGAGTCAAGAGGCACTAATTATAAAGCGAATAAATTAAAAATTAAAGTCAGTAACTACGGTGGAGCAATAATTGTGAAAGAAGCACGGTAATAGCATAAAGTTACGTAAAATGGGAAATTTTTTCGTGTCTTCAGAAATCCATGTTATTTTCGTATCGCGCATTTTTCGCATTTTCTATCTCGTATCGGACGACAAACTATGCCCATTGTCATACATGACGTCGTTTTATCGTACATTTTGCATTCGAACGCGCGCGCTCTTTCGAATCGCGATCATAGGCTATCGGCGCTTCTTGAATTCCATTCTTAAAGGAAATTCCTCAAATCGGATGAGAAGATCGCGCTGCCTTTAGTAACCAGTTTCGCTTTAGCTTCGTGTATTTTTTTTCCAAAGAGAAGAGAACATAGCGAGGAGAGAAAAAAGAGGAAGGGAGGGCGAGAGAAAAAGAGAGAGAGGGAGGGAGAGGAAGCCGAGAACAGAAGAAGATAGCGAAGAGGTCAGGGATGGCTTCTCTAATTACGACGCTGTCGTTAGGACACCGAGTGCTTAATGGCACTCTAGGATAAAGTGGGCTTGAAACGCGAAGCCATTTGCCGGCGATGCTGCCCGATTTTAAAGGTAATTAAACCTAGCCTGGGAAAAACAGATGGGTCGAGAACTAACCGATAATTCCTCGTTATCATACCGCTATTCTGGACGCCTGAGAGACTCGTTGAAGAAAGAGGATTTGGTAGAAAAAGTAGATGAGACATTTATCGACTATCGGCACTTGCTCTCTTAATATTCAGTGTTTACTCATTGACGATTATCGAATTCTCGATTAGTTCGAATATATATTTATCATATATTTAGATATTTATATTTATATTATAAATTTTAGAAACTAAAGAACCTTAACGTCTTGATTGAAGGTTTATTGCAACAGTGGGCCAATAGTCCACAATATAATCGAAAAGTTACAGTTATAGATAAATTAATTATTAAAAGATTCGTAGGTAAATATAACTCTTTGAGGACAGTAACGGTCCGTTCATGCAATTTGAATAATCACCTGCATATAGCAACCTGCAGTTGTCGATTATAAATCCGAGGTCAAAATTATCAAATAAAATTTATTTAAATACAATGTATGAACATTTTTATTTAAATAAAAATATACCACCATAGCACCATTGGATTCTATGAAAAAAACATGTGTTGTAAAAATGCTGTATTGCATAACTTTTCTGCCGTTCCATTTGTGGTAAAAAAGCAGAATTTTAAAAAATTTGACATGAACAAAAGGATTTCATGGAAGCTTGTTTCTTTTAATTTATTTATAACTATTACTTTTTGTACAAAGTAGCCAACACAATAGGTGACTTTTATTGATCTTTTTTAGTGTAGAAAACGATTCACAAAAAAAACCGTTTGCAGAATTGTACTATCACGTTTTTGAGCAATTTTAACTTAAAAGTGCCCCAAAAATGTGATTTTCACGTCAAATTTTCTCAAAATGGAAGATATTAGAGTAATTTTATTAGCGGATTCGTTTTCAACGACAAAAATCGATAAGAATCATCTTGTCTGGTTTGTGATCTAAAAAGAAAAACTTAAATTTGTCGAACAGTGCGGTATATAATTTGAGAACGCTAAATTTAATAAGAACTTTATAAATTAGTGATCATTTACAAGTATTTCTAAAAGGTTATCCGTTATCGCCAATGTAAAAACGTTTTGTAAGTCTCAGTTACACTCCTGATCCTTCGTCCTCGGCGCCGCATCTCATTTGCAAAATAACAAGGCAAATGGGCGTCACAGAAGAAGCGATGCAAACCAAATTAAGAAAAAAAGAGCAAGAAATACGTAGCAAGCGCCGAATACAATTAAAGCAAGTAACGGGTTAGTTGACAATAAGATTCGTGTATTCGTTTGCAAAACGACTGTAGAAACCTCGTGCGTCAAAGAACATTATGCGGCGTTTGCATCAGAAAGGGGTTGCATTATTCTGCGGCACGCTGATGCATCGTAAATTAAATCATTGACTTTTAATCAAGTGCGATTTTCAAACTTTAAAGATGCGGAAGTTCCAGTAACCAGAGTGAAAAATCGATTTGATTCTATTTTAAATGTTTGAAGCTAATTATTAATTAATTAATTAATTATTACAATATACTTGTATAACATATGCGATTCAGAAGGCTAAATATATTAATTGGTGATAATTAATTAATTTTGATATATTACAAATAAAAATTTATTCAGCATGTGATAAGGACTGTGAAAATATGGATGCATCAATAGGGGTTTGTAAAAAAGGGGTCTGTATCACATATACATATATTTAAATGTAATCGAACATCGAAATCTCGCGGTCTATGAATTGAGTTATGATAATATGAAATAATTGAATCGATAGCAATTGTTATAATGATTATTGTTTCTCTCTGTCTCTCTGTTTCTCTCTTTCTCCCTATAATTATAAAATAATTATTCCTGTTTAATGGGCGATGATATCATTTATATATTAATGCCAATATGTAACTGATATAATTGTGTAAATTATAGAATTCAAAGAAGAAAATACATTGCACATTTTTTTTATTTTTGTGTATACATTTAAATTATTATTGATGTTAATAGCACAAATAATAAACATTTTTTTTGTTATTCATTTAATCAATTAATTTATAAATGGTGCATAAGTTTTATACGAAATAAATAAAAAATAATAAAAATAATAAAATATAAAAAATATACAAGAAAATTTACAATAAATTTAAATGATTTAGTTTATTACTTGACTTTTAATATAATGTAGATATAGAAATACTAAAACATTTTCTTCTGTTTCCATCTTCAGTCGGCTATTAATCGACAATTATGTAAATTGTCATGATGGCTACGTAACGATACACTTTTGCAATAGATATTTAATTGCATTTCGATGAATTCCCCTTGTTACGTGGCGTACGTTTTTGACTTACGCTGTTTTAATGAACTCCGAACGAACGTGAGGGCAATCGATTGAAACGGATTAATATGGGAAAGAGCGAGATCGGTAGACGATTACTTGACCCGGAAGTACCTTATTCAGACATATTTTATGGGCAGTGGCACTTCTTTCTGATTAGATTGATCGAGAAGGTGTGGCCTCGTTCTGGGGTGTGGTTCTTCGCCTTTAACCTTCGCCGTCTATCTTCGTACTCTTTTAGCTTACGTCATTGCTTTCATATTTTACATATTATTAATATTATTAGTAATTCATAATTATCTTCATCTCGTATTTGTTTACGTTGAATTCTTTGATAAATTTTTTCGATCGGTATCTTTTTAAACAACAATGTCGAGACAGGTTACAATTCTCATTGAAACTTTTCAATTTTTAACGTTATATATTTTTGACATTCACGCATATTTATACACTTTAAATTAAGTAATTATATGTATACATATCTATATTTTTTTAAAATTAAGTTCTACTTAAAATTATTTTAAAAATATTGTATTTTCTATGGTTTTGTTATGTAAAACAACATAAAATTTATTACTCTTGTTGCGGTGAGAATTGCGATCTTTTCAAAGTCTGCTGTTCGCGTCTTATTTCTTGTGATATCTAGGACAGCGAAAATGCAGGGAACTTCTCATGCGAAGCTCTTGCAGCTCTTCTATAGCAAAATGAGAATTTTCAGGAAAGCCGAAGTTTTGTTGCGGCAACATTGTATAATGTGTTTTAGCACATATCGATATAACTCGCAACGAAGTTTCAACTTCGCGCGTAAAATGAAAAAAAAAGGAAGTCAAAAATTTTGCGCGGCCCACACGGAATACCCTAAGAAAGAAGTTTCGAAATGTAAGAACGTTTCTTCAATTTCCGGACTACATTCTCTCATTAAAGTTTCCGGGAAGTTTCCGTGAGATACAACAGCGTTTAATGTTGGTTCCGCCCTGGTGCCATTAAACTTTTCGCGAGTGGATTTCGTCGAATAGAGATAATTTTATTTTACTGCAGCTGACCACGAACATTGATGATACTTCGAGCGAAATGAATATTGTTGTTGCACGATGCCATTTGCATTTATATATTTTTTATACAAATTATTCATCTTTCAAATTCAATTTCTACCGTTGTTAATTCGCGCGCGCGCATCTTTTATCATTATTTCAACTAAATATAGCTATTAAAACAAGAGAAGGGAGATTTTAACAGTTAATATTTCAAACGTCACGTTTACATGACGAAATGAAATGCTTATTTACCGCTAGAAGCGATAAATGAATTATTATTATCGCAATCAATCGAGTTTCATTTTCTCATTTCTATTTTTACGTAAAACACGAGCGAAAAATCCCGGGGGAGAGGCGATCGAGCGAGCGTGTGGACGTCACCGTAAGAATCTCGAGAATTCGAATAAACTCACTGGTAATCCCGATAATACGTCCCGCTTCGCCGCGGAATATCGATTCCCTCCCTTGAATCCGCGGTATATGCGGGTAAATAATATCCGGCGTCTGGCCTTGATGGAAATAAAATGAAGTGCCCTTACCTTCGATCGTCCCTCGACCCTCTTCTCCTGATTCAGCTGGATCCAGGCGTCCCATCGATGTCTGTAGACACTCAGGGTGTTCCATTCATTCAGCTTCACCGTTTCCGTGCTCCTCACGGTGCCCACACCGCTGCCGCAATCGAACCTTATCGCAGAAAGGTACAAGGGTTGATGTTAATCGATTGGGAATGTTAGACACGTCGCGGAATATTGGGCGTTGTCGGTATGGAGTCTATAATAATGTTCTTTTCATACATAAAGCCGGAATTAAAGTACAATGAGCACAAATATAGACTTGCTTTTAATGAGTACGAACGGCGGCAGCCGGTTTTCGCGATGCTATTCATTGAAGCAAATTTCAAATCGTTCACTCGTGTATATTCACGCTGGCTTGTTTGATCCGGCTTTACAGAGCATAAAGAATTTATTTTGTTTCACATGGAAATAGTGAGTTAAAGACCAGAGTTTCATAGAAAAATTCATATAAATAAATTGTAAATAAATATATATACATATATATAAGGGAAGAACACAAATTACTATTATAAATAAATTTGTTACATAAAGTAAATTTATTTTTGAAACATAACTTTTTCTTAAATTATTGATTCAAGATTATAAATCATTATATAGAAAACAATTTAGTTATCGAATGTATTTGTCTTTTTTTAGCGGTTTATTAAAACTAATAATAATAAATATCGCTTGATATTGTAATAGATAATAAGCTTCTGTTAATGACAAAAAAGAATATGACTAGCATTCAATAACACTTGCGATTGTTTCGGAATATTGTTGGCGTTGTTTGTCACAATCCAATATGGAAATCATCATCGGTGACGCTAATCTATTTGCCATCACTGCTAAAGTAATCCAGTAATATGTAAGCGCGTACAATAATACTCCTTTCTGCTTAGTTAATAGGACAATAAATCCATATGGCTAAGCATTTAGTGTTCTATTAATGAATTGTGGAAACAAATCTGGGAGCACAATAGAGAGAGGCAGTCTCTGATATCAATGAATAAATTACATGGCACGTTTGATGAATGCGTCCATGAATTCGGTATCTGATCTATGATTTCAATTCCTTTGTCCTGCAATTCTATATACGCATAGTGTAATCCCACCTAAATAAAAGCTATCGCAGAGATCCTTGAAAATGTACATTTCTTCTTTAAATAAATCGCTAATTATGAAATATTCTTATATAATCTCTGTTTTACACTTAGGTAATTTGTTCATGTAATATTAATAGCAATTTTTCAAAATTATTAGAATTAATTATTTCAAAATTATTATTATTATTGTCCTTATATTCTAAATAACCTCGAATAATCTCCTGAAAATGTTATTTATGCTTGACAATTTGTGTATATTATAAAATGTTTAACAAATTAATTGTTATATTTATATTAATATAATTTCAAGAATGTATATTTATATCATTCTATCTTAGAATGTATTTATTCTAATAAGTCCCGATGAGCTGTTATATTTTTTTTTATTTATTCGGCCCGATGATTGCTTCACCATTGCTCGACATCTCATACGTCCTCTTTCATTGTTAGATTCGTTCATTGCACTTGCAACATTCGCGAAAAAACAATTAATTACGATTACACGTACTAATCACCAGAATAAGATTATCCCACAGCATTTTACACGGTACTCCCGACGTAATCTCACACGACTCGGCACTTTACCATTGCACATTGCAACGGACAAGAAGAACGTGAAAAAAGTACGAAGTTTTATAATCCCCTCGACATCCGCAAATCTCGTAAGTGCGAACACAACGATTGAAATCTCAAACAGCGGAGAATTTTATCAAATCACGATATATATAAATACCAAATTTGTGCTGCAGATCATAGATGACGAATGTTAAAATACAAATTTGATTATGTCCTTCATTAGTTACACACCATTAAACGTTTAATTCAAAGTCGATCCACTTCAGTACACGCGACGTTCCGTTCATGACTGAGAGGTTCGAAAATAGATATTGAAACGCTATTTCAATGTCGTATAATTAATAAAGTCAAATTAATGATTAATTGAGACGTAATCATGCGAAAACACACAATCAAAATCTAGTCTAGTTAATCGTGAAAGTTAATTAATCGCACGGATTGTTAATTGTTCGTAAAAAATAATCGCATTTCGATAGATAATATACGATGACGTATGAAATTCGCTTCGTTATCTGCCGGCTCGAGTCTTATCACACGAATGACATCTCGTAGACTTGTAGGCAGTAGCGAGACAATAAAAACAAACGCCTAAGCCGTGCCGCAAAAGTTAGCTTTGAGTTAGCTTTGAGATATTTAACATATTATGATTAATAAACTAAATACCTATTTCTTTAATTTTATATTAATTATCGATATATGTACACTTTCGATACACTGCAGTTTCTCGTTATTTGAATAACTCGATCCGATAATTCATATATTATTTCAAATTATCAGTATCGAAATATTAGGCAAATTACATTTAAACAAAGCGCGATACATACAATATACATATATACATACTCAAATCCAAGTGTCGCTGAGGAGATAATTATCGCCCGTGTATATTGCGCGAAACAATAGTTTATAATCCCTATTCTCTATCGTTTCGATTCCTACTTCAAATGCGATTAATTAATAAGTACAGTCGTAATAAAGCTCGCAATTCAAATTGTCACGTATTATAAATTTGACGTTTATAGTGTTTATATAACGTGTGCGATTTATGAAAAACTTCCGCAGTTGAAAAATTCGTTTGTTTTACTTATTTGAGATTATAGCGGCTTCAAGTCGATAAATCGCGTAAAGTACATATCTATTATATTTCGATAAGGAATTACAATGTCTTAATCGTTACTAATATGAGTTAATAACTACTTGTTGTAACAACCGTGATACGATAACATTTAGTAGCTTCCAACATTTATCGCAACTTTTTAAATGCTGCAATGATAAGTAATGACAAACAGAATCGGGCTATCAGTACCTGTCGGCTCAACTTTGTTACGTTCGCGTGTTGTATATTGCCAAAACAAATACTAAGCCTACAAAATATTCAATGTATATTCAATTGTATAAATATATGATTTTATGCATTTCAAATTAATCCCGAACGTTAGTATATATTTAGATTTGTAGCTTAATTGGTGTTGTTTAATATAACAATTGATTTCATGGCAATTTGAAAAACAGATAATAATTGCTTTGATTTAAAAAACTTTTAGAAACCTATTATATAAGAAATATAATTTAACTCCATTTTAATGAAAAAACTTTTTATGTAGGTATGTTTAGTATTATTAATTTCAGATTTTTATCTAAGAGAGAAACAAAATTATATAATTTTTAATAAATCGAAGAATGAAAGAAATCAGATTAAATTTTTACAAAAAACATGATTGAATCTTATTCGTTTTTTATTTATTAAAGTGATACAATTACATTATTGTCATGAAAACGGAAAATAGTAATAATAAAATAATATCTAATAATAAAATATTTTTCAAAATAAATGTTATTTTTCAAATGAACTTTATAATTAGTATTATTAAACGCGTTCACACACATATTGACGAGCTTATATCAACTCAGAGCAGAGTTCTTCAACAAAAGCATGATTATAAATAATATATCTCAATGTTTGAGTACTACACTATTATGTACATCGCAACATCGAGGAACGGAAGTATTGCCGTAATATTAGAAGTGTCATGTGATGATATAACACTTTGCGATGTACTTGTAGGCGAAACTTTACATAGTGTGCTGTAAAATAAATCCTACGGCATCGTTTTCACGGCGAAAAAGTTTTCCGTCGATGCTCGACGGGGTGGCGCAAAACGCCATAAAAGTGGTGGAACGGGATCAGACTATATTGCAAAAGGTAAACTTTTAGTTTTTGCCCTCATAAATCGTACGTGGGCTCCATTAAGTCATGGCTTATTAAGCTGTAAACGAAAAATTAGTCCCGGCACGGAATACTTAATTAATGACCACGTCAAACTCACGACGAAGTCTCCGAAATTATGGCGCCGAAGTGTCCTATAAAGTGTCTCGTATAACTTTATATTCAATACAGCTTGCCTCTCCTTGCGGGATAAAAAAGAATCGATGAACCTCATACTTGATACTGTTTAAGAAGTTTACGCTCTCTTAGAATCTTCATCACGCTTTGACATTTACAACGGTCTCTTAATTTCTAAATTAATATTCTGATGTTAACTGTCTTCTGTGAATTTAATTCTATTAAATTTTTGCCAGCCATGTTTCTTTCGTGATATTGTTTGCTAATGCATCTCGTTATAAATTTTATACCAAATGTTTTTGCGTCTATATCCGTTTGATTAAATTGTTTTGTGCGAGTAATTCTATTCAGTTCTATATTATGTGTGAATGTATTAAGGTAAAAAAAAAATCAATTCGTCTTATAATATACCAATTGCTATTATTTGACTGATAGTTTAAGTAATGTAAAGTATAAATTTTAAATACCTGAATTCGATAAAGCCGTGATGCAGTATCAAGGCCATAAAGTCACCCTGAAGATCGTCTCGTTCTCCCGCCAGGAGAAGCACTCCGTCCCATGCTTCTGGCCGAAATTCCATTTCTAATTGTACATGTTTGTAAGCGGCTCTTAAGGCGGGAAAAGCCAGCCAACCTGACCCAGTGAAACGTGGCGATCTCACTTCAGCCTCTGGAACACAACATTACATAAAGTCTTTTTATTGATTCAATTTGTTCATCAATAGATTAAGTTGGTAGACCCTGATATATGGTAAATTGAATTTAATTCTGTTATTTTATGGTATTTATGTTGTAGTATTGGATAATTTGCAAAACTATGAGCTTTGTGATATTGCGATAAAAGAATCGATCTACGTTTATATATGTGCATAAGAGAATGATGTTATGTTACATACTACTTGCAAATCCTCAAAAACATACGAAAAGATTTTCTTTTCTAGAAGAATTTTATCAAATCTTGGGCTTATAAAATAATTTCTCACATTTAGACAGGATTTTTATAATATCCCCAAAAAAAGCACAGAGAGTTTAAAAAGAATTTATTCGTATATTCAGTCGTATATTCAGTCATCAATTTTGAGTTTATTTTCAGATGTAAAAAGAATTCTTTTTCAGAACTTTTAGAAAAGAATTCTTTTTGCATCTAAAAATTAACTCAGAATTGATGACATACGACTGAATTCTTTTTGAACTTTTTGTGCTATCTGGTATAGTATATTATTGACAATATTCTGTGTGTTCTGAAGTTAGCACCCCAACATTAAAATTTCATAGTTCTGATTAGAGTTGCCGCTTTATTTTGAAGAGACGAAGAGTTTTCTATGGTTTATAACAAGAGTTCTACTTAATGACAATTTTTAATTTATGATTTTGATATAAAGTTAGCATCCCATTTTTTTAATTTAAATTAAAAATTGTTTAGAAACCTTGTTGTAAACTATAGAGAACTCTTTGTCTCTTCAAAATGAAGCGGCAACTCTAATCAGAACTATGAAATTTTAATGAAGAACTCTAATCGAAACTATAGAATTTTAATGTCGGAGTGCTAATTTCGCACATACAATATTCTTAATATTTATAATGATTCAGTGCATAATTAACCACTATCAGCATATTAATTAAAAATATTAGTTTATATAACAGAAAATTAAATGATCTATATTTATTGTCACAAAAAAGCTATATCTCAGTAAATACATTTTTTTTTTAAATATCACAAAGTAATCTCGAAGGATACGTATCTCTGTTGCAATTTGCAGCCGAAATACGTGCGAATGGTTAACATGCGGGTATCGTCGGCCACTTTCGAAGGATACATCGACTGGAAGGGAAAAGAGCGGAAAATCGGGAATTCCGGCAGCACGCGAGGCTTATGGAACGTCCCTTTACCCCCACGATCTACAACCCCGTATCAATCACGTGAGTGTACCGCAGGGTGTACCCGTAGAAAGACCCCGAGCACGTGGAACACGTGAGCGTAAGGGTGACGATAAATCAGGCCGGACCAGAAGAATAGAAAAAGTTGCGCCCGTGGGGCCTGGAAATGGAATTCCAGTTCTTGATAGCGCCGGGAATCCTCGACGCTATCGTGTAACAAAGCGTCGCTCGGCTGGCACAATCGTACGCGCAATTACAACGGGTGATATCGGAAAGACGAGAAGAATTTATCGTATACTGACACGCTGTGTTAGCGCGAGAAAATATTTTCGATCGATTTTTCTTCGATTACGCCGCCAACGTTCGATCTTCACTCAAACGTCGATTCTAGGCGCGCGACACTATTTACTGCAGCAATATTTGTTTTTCCGTACAAGAAATTATTATGTTACAATTTCTAATTATCTCCTTTTTAAGATAATGATATATTTAAAGTTTTGTTAATTATTATTGCAAATGATTTCGAATTGTAATTTAATTTTAATTAACTTCATATGAGTATAATTTAGTAATTATCAATAAAACAACGAGAGAGCTGAATATTAATGTAAAGTAGCATAGTAATGTAAAATTTTGATTAGAGAACTTAATAACCAGTGTAGTACCATATGTTACAAAATACATACAGGAAAACACACGTCGATGCAATCAAAATACTAATATTCTATAAATTTCTCTATCCGGAGTAGAATAACTAAGTTGTACTCGGTCCATATATTCTCTCTTTGCAGTAGAACAAGTACATCGCAGGTAGACCATAGATTCAACTCTCACAGTGGAATAAGTAAATTATAGCCGGACCATATATTTCTTCCTCCACCAGGAGAACAAGTACATTATATTCAAACCAATGCAATCCTCTTTTCGATTACACACCCATGTATTATCAATATGCTTAGTCGAATTGACTGCATTGCAGTTGTAGGATTGCGTATAAATTCATTTTTAATCAAATAAATAACGATACCGAAAAACAGTAAAGAGAAAGAGAAAAACCGATATTATTATGCCAGTGATTGTAATTCGCGATCATGTGGAATAAAAATGTAACATTTGTATAAAATCTTTAGAAAGCCAATTCATATAATGTTTCAGGATGAAACTTTTAACTATAATTTTATATGCCATACATATATACATATATGTTTCAATGTGTAACTTTGTACATATATTCTAGATTCGTTAAATGCCTCTATTATATTACGACATAAAATTATAAGTCAACTTCTATTCGGAATCCTGATAGGTTATACATATCTTAGATCGTCTAAAGTCAATTTAAATAAAAAATAAATTATCTTCAGTAACACGATCAATATCAACCGAATTAAATAACTAATATATTTTTTTTAATTACAGCAGTACGTGAAAGAAATAACACACATTAGTGTCTTACACCAATATTATCTTTATGCTATCTTTCATAGTTTTTTTTTGTATTACAAGAAAGGCATTTAGTATGCATGGCAAGTATAAATAAGTTGATTCATTGCCGGAAGAGGCAAAAGAGAGAAAAGCATTTATAATTGATTAAGATCGAACATTTCAGAGTTATCGTCTGATGTTTGCATCGCGCTCGACTTAACGCGAGAAACGAACTTTCGGAACGGAACGAGAGAAACAACGTTTCCTCGCTTCCGCCGGTTGTGGTCTAGCCGCTAGCGAGGCGTGTGAACTATCGGACCGATCGAAGCGGCGCGGGGCGCGGGGCGCGGCGCGGCAGCGGCCGTTCGGAAAGAACGGCGCTGGTAACTCGTTTCCGGCGGCGACTTGATTGATCGTTTCGTCATTCGAGGCCGTGCCTTTATGCAAATTAAGCGGATCAAAAGACTCCCGCAGTTTCCATCCCGAGCTTTGCAGGCTGGACATAACCGGCGCATTGGTCTCCTCGACGCGCTGTCCTACACAACGCGAATGCTAATGAAGCTCATTTCTTCGCCGTTAATAACTCCTCACTGCCGACTATAGCAAGTGTCACTATCAAGTATTACACTTTAATATAGATTTACGGCACGCGAGTCTTATTAAAATCACGTAAAAATATGTATTTTGTGGGAATTTTGCATTAAAATCTTTATTTGAGGAAGAGAGGAGTAGCATACAAGGAATAATAGAAAGCGGAGATTAGTCGTTAATATAGTACCGAAACGAATCTTTGAACACATCGTGTGGATTGTATGCACATTTTACAAGTCATTACGTGACCTAAAGTCTGCCCTTTTTAAATATTGTACCTCTTCTTCTTTTTCATTATAATATTCACTCTTTACTCTGAAAATTTTAAAATTTTACTTGCCAATGATATTACTTATGCCGGCTAATAAAGCGGAATTCCATCATCTGACCACTCGTCAAAGAATAACTGAGGAATAATTTATATTTAAAAAATCTCAGTGTTTTACGCTTAGCACTGGACCGGTCCCTTTTACGTGAAAATTTTGCGTTTCCAGCATATTTTGCCACATAAATGAAAGAGACAAGTGCATAGACAAGTGCATTTACAGTATAAATAAAGTAACATATAACATGAGTACATAAAATATGCATGTATATTTTTATTGTGAAAATGATTTATCTTTATTTAGATAAAGCAGAAATAGCTACAGTTTGCGTAAAATTATAAAATATAGATCTGTATTTATAAATGTATTTCTCATAAAGAATTCATTTTTTAAATCGATACTGAGATAATGAAATAAATCTGAAAAGTTAATTTAATATCCGTTACGTTTGCAACTATGATTCACTCCAGAAATCCAGATAAAATTGAGTCTTAGTCTGAATTTAAAACATGCTATTTTTTGATCACTGATCTATTCTTAAGAAAAGATTATGTTAATAAAAATAATTTTTAAATACTGTATTTAATAACTCTTTTAAAATAGAGAGTTTACCCAACTATTCAAATTGTCATAAAAAGATTGAATTAAATAATTTACACGTATAATTAAAATTTGCTATTAATAATATACATTTACATATACATATATATATATATATATCAATCAAATTCGAAATGAATTATCTCATCAATATTCAAGTTGCAATATTTCCTATCCTAGAATGCTATTTCAATCCAACAGAATTAATCGTTATTTTAATTATAGCAACGTTAATGAATCCATAAAACAAAGCCCAATATTTTTCTTAAAATTCCGTTAAAAAAATTAGGCTGATACTTAGAAAATATTTAGTTCTCCTCTTATAGACATTCGTAGGAGGGGAGGAGGAGCAGAAGAGCATTTGCCCCCCCCCCCCTCCTGCCCTCAGAAATCAGACAAGTACAAGAAAATTCAGAATTTGCTCTTATTTTTATAAATAATAAGTATGCTTGTTAAATATGAGAGAGCTTAAGTACAACACAGATACACAACGTTCGGACATTTGCTCCTCGCAGTATAGTTGGTACTAAAAATTTGGATCATGCTCCCATCTAAAAAAAATCCTGTGGACGCCCTTGTCTCCCCTACGTTTTCACTCCTATAAAGAAATTATTGCTACCATATTATATCCCTCGAAACCGTACAACTTTTGCAGATAAGTTTTTTCTTATTACTTAAAATAACGGAATTATTTAAAATAAACAGAGCTGAGGG